GAAAAATCCGTTTGCCAAAAATAAGCTCTTTACGTCAAGCAGTTTAACCAGAATCGTGGTTAAGAAATTACCCAACTTTTTGGAACACCCTGTATGATTTTTTAAAAAATTTCAAAATATGTAAAAAAACAAAATAAATTTTGCTTGTCCAAGCGTTTTCTCGAAAGACTAACCGTTTTTTAAATAACAAATATTGTAATATTTGAGGGGCGTTTTCACCCTCTTGGAACTTGAGATTCGAGAAACCCCTCCTTATCGAACCTTTACACCCCACAGTCAATCCGTTTGCCAAAAATCAGCTTTAAACGTCAAGCAGTTTAAGCAGAATCGTGATTACTCAATGGTCATATTTTATGAAACACGCTGTATAAATTTATAAAAAATCTTAAAATATGTAAAACAACAAAATAAAATATACGTGTTTAAGAGTTTTCCCGAAATTTTTCCACTTTGTGCTCGTCGTTTTGTGGAAATACCCAAGCTCGCCTGATGATTGGGTAGGACCCCGAAACCGGTAGTGAGAGCAGGTTGATCCACATTATGTCGAACACAGCGTGGAATTAATTTCTATATTATCAGTTCAAGGCAAGAAACTCTTATATAATTTTATTATATACCTAAAAACTGCAAGAAATTTATTTTCCATTAAAACAAATAAATACATATCTATATAAATTGTATATCTATAAACTCTATAAAGTATATATCATTAATTAAAATAAATAAACATACAAATTATTTCTAAATATACCGGTTAAAAACAAACAGTCGATATAATCAACACAATAAAAGTTCCAAAACGCAATTTTAAACGCAAATTTCGTATCGAGCAAACTACAAAGGGAGGTTCTTTTTTTTTTCATATCCCGATTTAAACTCAGTGGACCGCCAACGATATATAAGCCACCCTTTGATGTTGCAGCGGGTACAAGAGGGCCATTAACTTAAAAGGTTTGTAGTCTAAATAACATTATCGAGGCCATTTTTTAGCGAAGACGTATAGGGCTCGTTATTCAGTTTAACCTCTTTTTTCGTCGGAGGGTTCAGCTTAGAGAATCGGTATCGATCCTAAGTAAAATCGATGCGTACGAAATTTATTTGGATTTTTTTTCTAGAAATAATAGTTTTAGCTTTATTTTTTAGTTGGTAAATATGTTAATATTTTAATAAGATTCTACAATTTCTATAATTCTACAAATTAAAAAAAATTGTTCTACTATTCTACAAATTAAAAAAAAAGTTGTATTTCTCGCGAACCATTTATTAGATTTTGATGATTTTTTTTTTAAATTGTAAATTAATTCCTTCTTTACGGATGCTACATCAGAAATTTTTATTTCGAGTTTATTTTGAGCATATACAGGGCACAACAATAAGACAAGTTTTTTGCCCGAACTTTGTAACACCCTGTAGGGTGCAGCAGCTGTAGTACCTATTGCTAAATCAAATCACACTGTAGCCTCATCTTTTGTGAGCATTTTGTTTTTTTAACCACTACATTATCTCTGTTTCTATTGAAGATGCGCTGCTTTAAAACGAACGTCTCAGAAAAATGCTTCGCAGGCAGAAAGTTTTATGTATAAATAATCAAGGCAACGATTGTCAAATTAAAAAATGCCATTATTTGTGACGGATGTTAGGTTAGGTTAGGATAGCCCAAGTCAACTTTATGTGTCCGATACCCTGGGTAAACCTCGAACAACAGTCCAGGATGCCTGGAATCGGTATATAGAAATGGGAAATTTCACCAGTCGAGTGGGTTCCAGAAGAAAACGGAAGACAAATGAAATTGACGACCGCTTTATTGTCCTGAATACGAAATCAGCGTTTCAGAACCAACATCTGCTACAAGCCGTGCGTAGAACTCAAGTCAGTGGGAGAACAATCCGACGAAGACTAAAAGAAAACAGCTTTTCTGCAAGGAAGCCTGCCACAGGCCCCAGCTCCTTCGAAGATATCGTCGAGCACGTCTTCATTTACGCGTTTACATGTGAATTGGGATATTGAGCAATGGACTAAATTCCTTTTCACGGATGTATCGCGGTTTTGCCTGCGAAGCATTTTTCCGAGGCGTTCGTTTAAAACAGCGTATCTCCAATACAAACAGAGATAATGTCGTGATTAAAAACTAAAATGCTCACAAAAGATGAGGCTACAATGTGATTTGATTTAGGAATAGCTTCTATAGCTGCTGCACCCTACGGGGTGTTACAAAGTTCGGGCAAAAAACTTCGTCTTATTGTTGTAGCGTTTTTTAAACCACTACCACTGCGAACGGCAGCTTTTCATCGGAGAGCAGTCGTGGATAAGGTATTTCACTAGAGAGAAAATTAATCAGTAATAATTAACAAAAGATATATAGATATTGGGCGCCAGGCATGAACAGAGAAAGAAAACACAGTTGTATAATACTTAAAACTAATGACTATATTTATTCATGATGAATTCTGATGGTAAATAGCATTGTACAATTTTAATAATTATTATAGTGGTTATTTGTTGAGTAAAACTATGTATGTAAATAATATTAAATATGTTCTATGAAAAGACTATGAAAAAATACAATGCGTGTAACGTTATAGAAAATATAAGAAAAGTAGCATTACTTTATTTAAATTGTTAAATTTTATGCGGTGTTAAATCTGATGTGTTGCAACCTGTAGATTCTAGAATCTATGTCTCGTTATTCATCTGTTAATATAGCGCAATAATAATATCTATAGAAAGTAATACTATTAGAAGGCGTAATATAATGAAACCTAAAATCTAAATCACATTGCAACTACTGCATCGACATAAATGTTCTTAATAATCTAACCACTAAATATAGTATGTACGATATTATTTAAAATGTACGTTACTGTTTAAGACTGAAAATGTTTTAGATGTTAAATGTAAAACTAGAACTTAAATATACACTTAGCTGTTCTTTTATGTAACCTTGCTTCAAACAGTAGCAGCGTGAGGTGGTCTAGCATCTCTGTACTGTCTGTCGGCGATCCTGTTGGTCAAAACAAAAGGGGCCAGATTGAGGACACCATGAATCCTTACAGCCGTAGCTACTGACTAGGCTTAGAACTGGAAATGAAGCAGCATGGGACTCAAGCTACATCCACGCTGTGGCACTTAGATGTAAGAAAAAATCGTTCTTACTGGGGACACTCGTCCACAGGACATCTGCACATAAGATAATGTCCGTACATAAGACTACCCGTACCTTGGACACAGTCCGTACCTTGGAAATAGTCCGTACCTTGGACACAGTCCGTACCTTGGACACAGTCCGTACCTTGGAAATAGTCCGTACCTTGGACACAGTCCGTACTTGGACACAGTCCGTACCTTGGAAATAGTCCGTACCTTGGACACAGTCCGTACTTGGACCCTAAAAATATGAAACTCTTGTTTAAAACCAAACAAGGTCTAATAAACAAAATAAACCTACCTCAAAATACTTCCGAGGGCTCAATAAATAATAAACATGTCCTTTCTTCCATGTGACATTCTGGAGGACAAAAGAAAAGGGACGCCAACGTGTCAGCAAAACACAAATACAAGTTGGAACATCCGTAACTCTACCCTAAAAATATTCAATAATAATATCGAATCTAAAAGGATAATATCTCATCTTTACCTGTTGCTTTGAAATAGCAGCTGATTCAGATTATACAGCAAGATTTAAATAATCACCATTTCTAAAAGCTGGGATACAACAGAGCGTCAAAACAAAGTGAGGTTAAGCACGGAGACAGTTGACAGAAGCGATGTTAACAGCGCCTCCTCAGAGCAGTAACAGGGTTGTGTCGAACGATAACAGGGTTGGCGACTAGGAAACGTAAAAATTACGCGTCAAATAAACTATCCGGCCTGAACGATAGGGAATCCGGTGATGATAGGCCAGACATCATATATTATATATAAAAAAGACATGTAACGAACTAAAAACGTTACATTGTTGTGCCCTGTATATGCTCAAAATTAGTAGCATCCGTTAAGAAGGAATTAATTTACAATTTCAAAAAAAAATCATTCGCGAGAAATCCAACTTTGAAATTGGGACTAGTTTTTAGTTGCCGTTTTTTTTTCCACTTTACCACTTTTTCCGTCTTTACTTTCCACTATTTCATTGTACATTACTTTAGTTTTTACTAAATTCATTTTGAGACCCACTTTATTGCTGGCCTGTATTTAGTTTATTAATTTCTGCTTGTAGTTCTTCAGGACTACTGGCAATTAGGACTATGTTATCAGCGAATCTTATGTATGGTTAGAATATTCTCCATCTATTTTTAATCCTTTGTTGGTCCAGTCCAGTTGACGGAAGATTTCTAATGTTGCTGTAAACCGGTTTGGGGATATCGCGTCTCCGTGTTGTACATCTTTGCCAGTTAGGAACTCTGGAGTTGTTTTATATATCATTACTCTTGCTTTGGCTTCACTGTATATACTGGCGAGAGTTTCTATATAAGGCCTGTCAATACCTTGTTTCGCTAGGGCTTGTAATATTGCATTATGGATATATAGAGTCGAAAGCCTTCTCAAAGTCTATAAACGCTATGAGTATTGGTTTTAAGTTCGTATTCTCTTGTTCGGCTCTTGTTTTCTAGAAATCTATGTTTATTTAACTTAAAATCTACTATGTTTATTTCTATCAAAACTTTTTCTGAGACGTTGGGTAATAATTTTAATTGTTTAGATTTATTAGATGTTGACAAAGATGATATTTTTAAACTGAAATAAGTATATCAAAAAAATACTGGGTTGAAAAATGACAGGAGGTGATGATTTTAATTTTATGGTAAAAACTATGGTAATAAATCTCTCAGAAGTGTATGAAGTGTATGAAAAAGCTCCATGTATTTAAAAAACTACTCTGATTATGAAATGAGCAGTAATAATTAAACAAAATTATTAAGTATTCAACTGAAGAGAAAATACAGAGCATCACATAAAATATAATTGTTAGAGTAACAACAATTAAAAATTGCAATTTTTTACAGGAAATCGTGGTTTAGAAGCTCCTTACGCTGTTCTGGTGTTCGTCCATGGTGAAAGTTTTGAATGGGGAGCTGGACATCCTTATGACGGCAGTGTACTAGCCTCCTATGGACACGTCATAGTTGTCACATTAAATTTCAGATTAGGAGTACTGGGTAAGTTATTCACACAGTTAAAATTTAGTATATTATCTCATACACGGAAAAAAAGCTAAACTGGCTTAAAGATTATTAATCTTGAACCAACGATATGCTAATTTCCCCATTCCGCAAATCTAGTTATACTTCTTTTTAAGAAAACCTTATCCTTAGAAGCTAAGAAAATTTATCTTTTATTTAAGATTTACCTAGTATTGAAATTAAGATTATAACTACACTCCAGACAATTCGAGATAAAATCTTGTTTCGAGTACTACTTATACTTATTTGTAAATTAGCAAATTATTGCATTAAGTATAGAAATTCTTTGTGTACATGTAATAATTACTTTATTCAAGTGTAATATCACCTACTATAAAATAACGCCTCTTCTTACTTTTAGGTTAGTTACTAGACGCGCCGACTAGGTAGTTTATAAAATTATAAAGTTTTTTTGTTATCGTTTGTGCTTGTGATATGTGAAAATGGAGGACCTTCTTCAGGCATGGGAGATGACAATTTGATCCCAAAATTTCAAAGAAGTTTAGCGATAATCCTACATTATTTGATGACATTGGTTGGGTTAGAGGACTCCATTTTAATATGCATTATTTTTTATACATTGGTGGTAAACTAGGTATGTACGCGTTTGGAATGATTCAATTATGTTTTAACAATTTTTATTACTGTCTCTCGTTTTTAATTAGCGATACCGCTGTCCAATATCTACCTATATTGGGAAATTACACAGTTTTATTGTATTTTCTTATTACGAAAAGCATATAATTTGGTAGGTGATGTTTGGCTAATCTAATTTAAAAAGTATTAACCATATTCGGAGTTATTCTGGTTATATTTCAAAATTCCATACCTATTGTAAATGGAAATTAAGAAAAGATTTTACCAAAACAAGAGTTCCTAACAAGATCGAACCCGAACCTCCGAAAGCATAGGGAACACGTTACCGAATTTTGTGAGAACTATATAGTTTTTCGATCCCGGTTAATATTCGTGCTCAGAAAAACTAGTTTATCCTAAAATCGGGTTTGCCCGGTAACATACATGAATATAATAGAGTTGGGACATGCTAAAAATTTTAATTTCCATTTCCAATAGGCATGGAATATTGTAACATCACCAGAATAACCCCGAATATGGTCAATACTTTTTAAATTGGATTAGCCAAACATCACCTACCAAATTATATGCTTTTCGTAATAAGAAAATACAATAAAACTGTGTAATTTCCCAATATAGGTAGATATTGAACAGCGGCATCGCTAATTGAAAACGAGAAACGATAATAAAAATGTTTAAAACATAATTGAATCATTCCAAACGCGTACATACCTAGTTTACCACCAATGTATAAAAAATAATGCATATTAAAATGGAGTCCCCTAACCTCAAACCAATGTCATCAAATAATGTAGGATTATTGCTAAAATTACCTTGAAATTTTGGGATCAAATCCGTCATCTCCCATGCCTGAAGTAGGTCCTCCATTTTAACATATCACAAGCACAAACGATAACAAAAAAACGCGTCTTTATTAGAATAAACGGCGCGTCTCGTGTCGCAGAGGAGAAACAGAAACCAAATGAAGATAGGAGTCAAGAATGCACTGTTGCGTTGTTGCTGTTGGGGATGGTCACTTAATATAAGAATAGTAACTCTTGGAAATTAGGGTGTTATTCTCGCGCCGAGAATAATATACTTATTTAAAGTCTTAATACACCGATTTCAAGTAAAAGTTTTAAAAAAGTTAAGAATACTACTTATTATTATATAAAAGCATTTGTACTTCATTTAATAATAGTTATAATAGTCTTCGTTGCTAAAGGATTTATTCACTTGATAGTAATATAAGTTTTTCTTAAATATAAGTCATTTTATTCTTTTTTTTAGATTCAAAATTACTTAAAGTGACTATAACTATATTTAAAAAGCAAGTGTAAAAGTAAAATAGTTCCAAATATTTGTTGTACTCATGGAAAGAATACTATCCTTAAAGAAAGTGTAAAATTTTAAGTGTATGATTGTTCTTGAATATAGAAATGATTTTTTTCCGTGTATTGCGCCAATGAATGCAACTATAAAAATCCTTGATAATTTTGGTTGTTTACTAAATAAATAAATAAATAATAAAATATCCAGAGAAGCAAAATTTTACATCTATGTAATTTTAATATACCCTAAATAAATTATTACTTTTTGATATTCCGCAGTATCCTGAACATAGAAAGATAATGAAAATATATTATGGAATATTTTGTATTATTTTTGCTCTGCTAAACGTTTTATATTACGATTTTATATAAATGATTAAAACAAAAATTACAGAGCTGTTTAGTCTAATAGTAAATAGAAAAAATCATAAAATATATCTGAAATGCAAGAAAAAATAACACACTCCAATGTGTGTTAGATCTACAATCTACCCTGTTCTAATTTCAATAAATTTAACTTAAAATATACTCAAATAAACATACACAAACCCAACCAGCAACTAAATTGGGACAATTTGTATGTAGCATTATAAGCAATTTGTTCCGTGTGTTATTATTTGGCAAGATACTTAGAGCGGTTCGTGTTTGTCTTAGATTAGTTCAGCGGGAGGGTAATACCGCTGGCGCTCGGTTTTGCCGCTGCAACTGTTACGTGTATTTAGGCCAGAATTAAGGCGGACAATATTGTAGGGATTAGGGCTAAGTCAGTGTTAAATTATGAAAACTTGCCGCAGGAGGCTGTGCCGCGACAGGACCGCTTTGAGGATCTTACTTAGAAGTATACCTTAATTTTCGAAGTCAGCGGAAAGGATGATTTGTATTTATGCGAATGTTTTAACCCTTTCAATGGAAAGATTAACCTTCCGTTGTACTTGTTTTTTTTAATTGAACACCCTATATATTAATTGATTTTCGAATTCTAAAAAATAAAACTAAGGAAAAAAATAAAGGTGAGGTTTTTTAAAGAAGCATATACCTAAAAATCTAAGGTTTTTGACATATTTCACATTTTGTGAAAACGAAGAGTAAATTTTAAATTTCGATAACAGCTACCTGAATTTTAGTTGACTTTGTATAGCCTGATATTTAATTACAGTAACCATTGTATGTTATACCAAATTGAAATTTGATCTGAAAAGTCATACAGGGTGGGACAACATTAATATGGAATATTAATCACTTTTAAAAGCAAGTTACTCCTTTATTTTAAATGGAACACCCAGTATATTTTTCCGGTGTTCAATGGGAAATTTATATATCTTCATAATATTATTAAGGTTGCCTACCCCCCAGACAAAGATTTTCCTAGATATTTTAATTTTTATGATTATGCGTCAGTAGATATTTATTATTTGAAAAAATCTAGGTGGCTGTGTGATAAACCTTTTGTTAATTTAACAAAAATTAAAGATTGTAGAGTAAAATACACATCGGTAATAAAAAGATACACGTTTAAAATATATTTTAATTATTACAGAATTAAAAATAGATATAAACCTATAATTATGTGACAAAAATCAGCTAGATGAAATCAAAAGCTCAAAATGCTTCCTTTCCTGTTAACTGCATAAAATGATTGCTTTTTCAAAAGGATCTATTCATTTTAAAAGGCATATGTGGAGTTCTACCTCAAAAAGAAGCTAGAATAATTTCTCATGTTGTCGACAATAGTTGGTACAGGAGCATTTAAATATTCTATTAATTGGTAAATGCACACTGCATTCATGAACTAATAAAATCATACCAATTATCTTTGATGTAGGATAAGTTTGCATTTTCGGCAAATTTCTGAGAATTTTTTTTGTTTTAACTGACAGAAAATGATAACTAATTGTTAAATTTGGACTAATTAAACAGCTACGTTGAAGTAACGTCAGGCATATCACAGCCACCTAGATTTTATCAAATAATAAATATCTACTCAGATCAAATCATGTAAATGAAAATATCTAGGAAAATCTTTGTTTGAGGGGTAGGCAACCTTAATAGTATGTTGAAGAGACATGAATTCTCCATTGAATATCGGAATAATATACTGGACGTTCTATTTAAAATACAAGAGTAACATAATATATTACATAGAGAAAACAATAAATTATAAAATGCACTTGTAAATAACTAATTGTATATCTTTTCTTTCATTTGTGTTTTTATTTAGAACTTGCAAAAACAATTAGGATACATCAGTTTCGCTTAGGTGTTTTAATAGATAAGTGTTTTTCTGATATTTTTTAAAATTAAATAATTATTGAAACATATCCATTTAGTAGTATTTCCTAACAATGTTAATATTTTTTCTTCAAATGTTTATCTATAAAATTCAAAGCCTGCTGGTTATAAAACAGGCCATACTTTACAGCACTTAAAGTAAAATATTTTTGAATACCCTAGAGAATCAATCAATTCTCAACTACTGTGTGAGTAATTTTCAATTAATATTTTATTCCATTATTACCATGCATTTTTAATTAATAAATTTTATATTTCTCCGTATATGTATGAAAATCAATTTGTTGCAAGAATAAATTGTAAATATGCAAATACAATACAATTATTTTATTTACAATTAAATTTAACATCGTCAAACGTATCTAACAATTTCATAGCGTTAAATTATATTACGTCATAAATTTCTCTAATAATATTTTATCAAAAAACGGGGCCTACTGGATTGTGTTCGCAGTAATTTGCTGTAATTGAATTTTGTATTTATTTTTAAAAAATAATTTGCACTTTGTACATCAGGGGATTTTCACACAAATTAAATATTTGATGATAGGACTAATGGAAATGTATATATGCATCAGCTTTAATATTACAAATTATTATAATTAAAATATTAATTATTACGTGAAGTTAATTACATTGAATTAAAGCCAAATATAGCTATCTCACGTACTACCGTGAGGCAACAATAGTCAGTGACATTACGAAAAAAATAAACTCTGTTTCATGGTGTGTTAGGAATTTATTAGTTTTGTTAGGAACACAATTTTTCACTTAAACCGC